GGTTTGACTCTCTCAGCGGCTTTGGGGATACCCCCCATCTCCATGGGGAGCGACAGCTGGAGCTCGGCCCCGAGTCCGCCCCGAGCCCCGCGCTCTCTGGCTGGGTGTAGCCGGGTGGCTGGTCCCCCCGGGCCCCGTCTGACCCCTGGTGCCCCGGCCTCTCGCTGCCCAACTGAGACTCTCCTTCCCCCGCAGCCTCCGTCCTGGGCTCCTGCCTCCAGCCGGCGCCGGCCCAGACCCCAGTGACCATCGTCCTCACCCCGCCGAGCCCCGTGGTGGGAGGGGGCGTCAGCCTGGCCCCGCAGCCACCGCCACAGGATTTGCTGACCTGCAACTGGTACCGATCAGCGACCGTGACTGATCCAAACAGCCTGATCCTCACCTACGTCCAATATCCAAACCCCGCTCAGAACAACGGCCCGGCCCACACGGGGCGGGAGACAGCGGGGCCGGGCTGCGCCCTGAACATGGCGGGGTTAATGCTGAACTACACCGGGAACTACACGGTGCAGATACAGAGCTCTACCGCTGCTAACCCTGTCCGCTCCACGGTGGTTCTGCGCGTCTCTGGTAAGTGCCACCCCGGGAGCTGCGCTGATCCCATCTGTGCCCCCCCCCCCACCGCCATACCCGCACCAGCGATGGGGCTCTGGGCGTCTACCCCAGGGATGAGCCTGGCTGGGACATGGGGGAACCCGCCCCCAAACACAGACACCGTGGGGTAGCCTGGGACTCCCTGCCCCCTGCTTCTCCTGGGAGATGGTGCCCCCCAGAAATGTGGGTCCCTGGGTCCCCCCATCCCATCCTGGTATCCCAGTGCCCTCCCACCCCACTGCCTCCTGCCCACCACAGCCTCTCCGGGCCCCCCTATTGTCTCCCCCCATCCTGGCATCTCTGCCTTGCCAGCCCGAGTGAGCATTAACCTGCCTGGGGAGAAGTGTCTCCATGGCAGAGCTGGGTCGTGCTGCCCCGGGGAGCTGGCACTGGCGGCTCTGCCCGGGGAAGGACGGGCTGCAGGCGGGGGGTGGGGGTGGGGAACGGGGACAGGCAGCACCATCCCAACCCCTGTTCATGGAGTTCTGGAGCTCTGGGACGTGGCCCCCGGTGCTGCGGGGAGGGAAACAGCTGGTGCTGGGGGGCAGTGGAGGGGGATTGCTCCAGGGATGGGAGCGGGTTCTGTATTCCGCTGGTGGTTCCCTCCCCAGACTCTGGGGCCCCCCACGCCCCCTGCATCCCCAGGTGTCTGTGGGCTGCTGTCCCCTCTCTCTAGCACACCCTGCTCCCCTGCCACCGGTGTCCATCTTGCAGTGCGATCAGTGCAAAGATCTTTGCACACCCTCGTGCAAACCCCACCCCCTGACTCTCACCTTGTGATTCTCAGCCTCAGTTCCCCTCCTTCTTTGTGGAGAGGAGCACGCTCACTGGACCTGATCCTGGTCCCACTTGCCCCAGTCCAGCGCTGCTGCCCAGTCCCCAGTGGGAGTGCGGGCGGGATCGGGAGATTGACGGGGGCTGTGGGGCAGGGATCTGGGGGGCAGGAGTCCGTTGCCCCCCCCGGTGCCCCCATAGAGCCAGTGCCCGTCGCTGTTGGGACGCCAGGAGCTGTGGTCACCTTGTGCCTCAATTTCCAGGGGCGTGTGGGGCCTGTTTGTGTTTTTCCCCCCCCCACCACACACACGGTAACTGGGGGCAGAGGGACCCTGCTGCTGTGGATGACGGGGGACCCTGGGAGCTCTGGGGGGTGTCTGCCAGGCCGCCCCGTCCCTGGCTAATCACCCTGGGGCCCGTTCCCAGTGGGTCCTTGCCCAGGGCAGTGGCCGCAGAGGGAAGATGTGTCGGCACAGTCGGCCCAGCTCCCTTCAGAGGGGGGCAGGGGGTGAAGGCTCTTGCGTGTCCCTGTGCGGCTCCTGAGGTGGTGCGAGGGCGGCTGGACTCCTCGTGCCAGGTGCTGGAGGGGGGGAGATCACTGCCCCCCCGCCCGCTGTCCCGCCCACCCCTTCTGCCCGCAGAGGAGCTGGTGCTGCCCGAGGTGGGGTGCGCAGCCCCTGCCCGGCGGAGTTCGCTGAGACCGTAGCTCTCGCCTGCGTGACCTCCCCTGGCACCGGCGCCATCCGCTGGCTGAGGGCCGGGCAGCCCCCTGGCTGGGCGAGTGCCTGGCGCTGGTCCCGGAGAGCCGCACCCTCACCCTGGCCAGCGTCACTGCAGTGACACCAGGGCCTGGTAGTGCGACGCCTCCAACTGGGTCAGCATCAGCGACCTCACCTCCATCGACTCGCTCTGAGAGTATCTCCAGCTGCGCCTCGGCCTCCCGGCTCCCCCCGCTCTGTCGGGCCCCTCACCGGGGCATCTGGGCTCCAGCCTCCTCTGGCCTGGTCTGCTTTCCCCTGGGTAACCCCGGAGATCTCTGTGCGCCGCCTCCCTGGGAGGGAACCTTGCTGCTCTCTGTGCCCATCGACTGCCCCTGGGCCTGCTGCCCCGTGGGACTCAGCAGAGAACCTGGAGTTTCATCTGCCTGTGACTGTGGGGCCCGGACTCCTGGGTTCAGTTCCCAGCACTGCCGCTGACTCTCTGGGTGCCCTTGGGCCAGTCCCTGCCCCCCTCCAGGTCTCGGTTCCCAGCTGTAACGGGGAGAGTGATCCTGCCTTTGGCCGCTTAGACTGGGAGCCCTTCAGGGCAGGGGCCGTCTCGCTGTGTGTGTGCAGTGCCCGGCGCGACGGGGCCCTGATCTTGGCCAGGGTCTGGGCAGCGCCTGGCGCAACAGGGCCTGATCTGGGTCGGGGTCTGGGCAGTGCCCGGAACAATCTCTGTGTTACCATAATCCACATAACAAATCAACCTGCTGAAACACAATGGACCAAATCCATCCCTGGTGTAGGTAGCTCGACCCCTGGCTCTCGCGCTCTGCCCCAGGGCAGTTCTCCAGCACAGGCCACGCAGCCCTGCCAGCCCCCCAACCGAAGCACATCTGGCTGGAGGCTGACAGCCCCTCTCTGCCCCCAGAGCCCCCCAGTCCCACCCCCGGCCCGTAGCACAGACGCCCTGCAGCACGGCTGGGGCTGGGAAGCTGCAAACACGCGTTTTCCTCAGGAGCGGCTGGCCGGATGCAGGGAGGGAGCGTGGGGCGCCCCCAACGGGCAGAGTCTGGGGTGGGAACCCCGGGGGGGAGGGGGGTCTGATGGGAAGAGCTGGGAGAGCAGCAGAGGGGTGGGGTCCTTCCCCCGTAGCAGAGACGCGCCAGGCCTGGCTGTTCGCTGCCCTCGGCCTCCCGCCCCCATTCACCTGGCAGGGGCGCTTGGCTGACGGCACCGGGGGGAAGGGCGGCTGGCGAGGTCACCCTCAGCGTGTCACCTGGGGTGGGGGCGGGGGTGGCTGGGTCCTTGGTGCCTGGCTAGACTCACCCTGGGTCCCAGAGTGAGATACTCTGGGGAGGCGAGGGGGGGTGGCACTGCCGCCCCACAGCGTCTCCAAGCCCCCCCCCCATCACCCTGGGGAACTTTCTCCTCCATATGCCGTGGGCCCCGCCCTGGTCGCCAGGGAGCCCCTCCCTCTGTGAGCCCTGCTCCCGCCTCCCCCCATGTCGGGGTCTGGAGGGTTGTAGGAAAGTCCCTGATAAGCAGGCAGGCGGTTAATGGGTAACTTGCTGGGGGAAGCAGGAGCTCAGAGCCGAGAATCTCTGCACCCAGCAGTGACGCTGGTGGATCTATTGTCCTGGGCAGAGCGGCAGGGCGTGGGTGCCGATAACCACCTAGAACAGCTCCTGCCGCGTCCTTTGCCCCCCGTGTGCCTGTCACCCCGAACCCGTCTGCTAATCCCCCCTCCCCTTGTGCGTCTTGTCAGTAACCTTCGGCCAGCGCCAGCTGATTCGGTGACGGGGAAGGGGAAGGTGCCGTCAGAGTTGCTGTAAACAGTTAATAATTAACAGACTTGGTGCGTTTGAGGCCAGCAGGGGCCGTTCGACCAACTAGTCCGGCTTCCTGCACAGGGCAGGCCAGAGAATCCCCTGTTAGCGCAGTATGGAGCCCAGACACTCGTGTTGGCTGGACAGGCCCCAGCCTGGATCCGAGATGGAGGGTCCACCCCTGCCCTCGGGCATTCGTCCCAGCGGCTGGTCACCCAGCCTGGTACAATCCTGGGCCTTTGTCTAACTGGGACGTGTCTGCCTGGAACTTCCAGCCGTTCCCTCTGGCTCGGCCTGGGAGCTCCCACGCCCGTTATCTCCCCGCGGAGGGGCTGACCCCGGTATCAGACAGACACCCCAGGGATCTGACAGGCTGAACAGATCCAACTCTGCCAGTCGCTGCTCCAAGGCCCGGGCCGGCTCTAGGCACCAGCGCTCCAGGCATGTGCTTGGGGCAGCACTTTCCAAGGGGCGGCACTCCAGCCCCCTTTTTTATTTGCTTGGGGCGGCAAAAAGCCGGGAGCCGGCCCTGCCACTGGAGAGCCAGAGCATCGTCCCCTGGAGCGGAGCCCGGGCTGCAGCGGCGAGAGGGGCTCCCGGAGTGTGTGAGGAGCCGGGGAGGGAGGGAAGCGGGGCCCTGGATGCAGGGAGGGAGGAGGGGTCCTGCTGCTGCTCTGAGTCTCCCCAGGGGGACGCGGTGTTTCCCCGCCCGAGGGGGCTGTGCAGGGCACCGCCGGGCTGGGCAGAGGGCATGGATCCTGGCTCGCGCACTGATGGGGCGAGTGGCTGGGCAGCCCGACCTGCCCCCTCCTGCCCCCGGACCCAGCCCACCATGCACCTCCCCCGCCTTAGCCCCGCACTGCTTGCCCCAGGCCCCCCCAGCGCCAGGGGCGGGGAGAGGCAGAGCCCGGCTCCGAGCGGGGCAGTGGGGAATACTGCCTCACCGGGGGACCCCCACGACTCGGGCACCTGGGGGTCAGTGTCCGTCCTCTCGGCTCTGCCTGCACGGGGCTGGGGAAGCAGCTGTCAGCGCCTGCCCCTCTCAGCCCCTGCACCCCCCATCCCGCTCGCAGCCCCTCCACTTGTACCTCCCCCCTCGCCGCACCCCTTCCCCTTGTACTCTCCCTTCATCCGCACCTCTCTCCCAGCCCTCTCCTCCCGCACCTCCCCCTTCCCCTGCACCTCTTCGCCCGCAACCCTCCTGATGTTGTACTTAAAGTACTGCACAGGATCTTTTCAGGGGGGGATAAGACAAAACTCCACATTTATTAGTAATACACGTATTCATTAACACTGTATTATATGCATATAATATATTACAC